AGATCCCAGTGCTTCTCTCTCAGCCGCGTCACTGTTAATAACAATTCGTATTGAAGAGTTTTTAAGGGCACTAAAAAGGAACCTAATTTGCTTTTTTCGAAAATTCAGTTGTTTTACTTTACTGAAAGCACCTTTTGGTTTTCTAATTTATGATCCATTATAACATATTTAAAACAATAGTTAATATTTTTTGTTATTCTGCAAAAAAAAAAAAAAAAAAACGATTGATATATTTTAACCTAAAAATCCGGGAAAAGCATATGCAAAAATAAATATCATAAATTTTGTTTGAATTTATATACATTTTTTTTTTTTTGGTTCAAAGGTCCCATAGAAAAGAACGCAGGAACATGTGTCTAATATTTTTCGATTTTGTATTACAAACAAAAAAAATTGGTTGAAATCGGTGACCCACAGACTGTATCCTCTCCTTGTAAGTACTATAACAGAATATAAATTGTTGTAAAACGCCAATGACCCTTTATTTATAATAGTAGGTTATTGGTTGACTGTCGTGAATAATGAAGAGAAGGATGGTTGGGGTGATCAGTCAGAAATAAGGAGACAAAAATAAATAATAATATTGATTTTAACATTTGCCAACGTTTTGATCTGAAGTTCAGGCCTTCATCAGGGCTAATAAAAGAACCAGATAGCAAGGTATGAGAAACATAAATAATGTAGGTAAAAAATTAAAGTAAAGTTACCTCTACAGTTATCAGTAGCAACGTACTTATGTTACCTTTTTGATTATGTTTACTTCATCATTCCACATTTTGTAACGGTTATTATTATTCATCTCTTAGTTCTTACTAGTGTCATTATTCTACCCACTTCATTTTAATTAAATTTTTTATCTACATTATTTATGTTTCTCATACCTTATTATCTGGTTTTTTTCTTAACCCTGATGAAGGCCTGAACTTCAGGTCGAAACGTCTGCAGATGTTAAAATAAAATTTATTTTTGCCTTCTTATTTTTGACTGATCACCCCAACCACCCGACCCTTTATTTAGGATAGAGGCAAGAAACAGGAAAAAAAAACAAAAAACATATCGATTATCCGGTGGAACAATAGTTCATTTTTACTTTTTTCACTAGATAACCGATGAAAAAAATTTATGTATATATATATAATAAAGATGATTTTGTAGGATATGAGTACAGGATATAAAAGTTCAAAGTACTGTTATTTGTAAAAACAATTATTTTCATCTGGATTAGAGTGCTTCGTTTTGTGTTTTGTGAAAAGCAATTAATTTCGGAATGTGGTTTATCTAAATCAAATTGTTAAGGCACCTTGTTAATTATTCAGGATATCATGAACAAACGCTATTTAAAATTATCTGATGAGATGATTGCATGACTTTTCCTCCCTGGACGTGTGGCATGACCCTCCGCTGTGCTGATTTATAAATATCTCCAGAACACACTATAATCACCTAGTTTTAATTGATATCCGAGACCTGTTCTCGGGATACGGAATGTCATATGTCATATGAACTACTATTTCGTGACACTGATGGATGGTTCATTGATATTTTGATTTGATAAATATTTTGTTTTATTTTTCAATATGAATTTTACCATAAAATCATATCAGATTTATATATATTTTTTCTATTGTACATTCTCGTCTTTAAAAAAAAAAGAAAAAAAAGTGATGGCTGGAAGTGTGATGTCATAGCGCGAAATTCGAATAGAAATAAAATAGTTTATTTTGTGCCGACGATTCGGCCTAAGTTTCAATCTTTCTTAAGGGCTGGGGGAAGATAAGATAACAACCAAACCAAAATTAAAATAACAATAACTTATAAGTATCACAATTTATTCCTTTATCATCTTCTTTTCAACTCCAAGGTCTTTATGTTCTTTCCTCACTACCGAAGGTAGAAGGTTGTATTCGTGCGGGAGGTTAAAATAAATTTTGTGCTCAGAATCGAAAATTTCTACTCATTTTAGTCATCAAGGATCAGGAAGGGTGTTGTGTTTCACCATGACCACGCTAGGCCCCACACCTCATAGGTCACTCGCAATAAATTATTGAGCCTTGGAGGGAACGTTTCTCCCCCTCTCTATTCTCCAGACCTAGCTCCAAGTGACTGCCACTTATTCCGTTCTCTGCCGAACTCCATGAATCGAAAGAAATTTCAAAAGGAAGAAGACATCGAAAACAACTTGGATCAGTTTTTTAACAGTATACTCAAGACACTCTATGAAAATGGCATTATGTATTTAATGGAAAGATGGCAAAAATTCATATTGAATAATGGTCAATATATTGTAGATTAAAATATATTGTATGTCTATAATACATTGAATTTTACTTCACTCTGAAAAACAAAAAGGACTTATTTGCCTACTAAATATTTTGTAGGAGCTGTAATGTATAGTGAAAGGCACTCAACTAGTACACCAAGCTTAAATATTTGTAGATGTGAATTTCCTTATCAACCTACCAAGATGTTTATGTAGATATGGAAGTACATTCCCTTAGGGTGGATGCAATTTTATAATTCTTTAGTCAAGCTGCAATTTAAATTCAAATATTTTTTTATTTCTTGTCATTTTGCACAAGACAAACGACACTTCTCTTGTTCATTATTACTATTCTTATACATCCCAAACAGACGATTCGCAACCATAAATTTTATTTTATGAACCGAATTTTCGAGAAGTAACTGGTGGTGCCTACTGTTTAAGTTTTAACATAAAACATCAATGATATTTGTCACCTAGTTTTACTATTTGTTTGATTTTCTCTTCGCCTCAAGTTGTGCTTTTTCTTTCGGGTATATATGTTTATATTTTATACTTTTTGTCTCTCCGTGTATAAATATGAGTATGTGTATGTATACACAGTTCTTTTTTTTCCATTACACCACAAGTAATTTTGAGATTTTATTTTTTCTTAGTGTTTGCATATCATTATATGAATCACTGTAGATATTATTACAATTTGTATTAAATTATTTTTCTATTAGATAGGCTATTGTTTATAAATTGTGTAGTTATGTATATATAGATATGTAATTTCTTTTATTTATTTTTTTCATCACAATAATAAGTAATTTTGAGAAGATTTTATGTTCAGAAGATTTTATATATATATGTATATATATATATATATATATATATATATATATATATATATATATATATATATATATATATATATATATATATATATATATCTTTTTTTTTTGTTTATTTCTTAGTGGTTACATACTACATTTTAAATAATGTTTATAATGTTAGAATTTTCATAAGTTAGTTTTTGGCCAGATTTTTATTTTATTTTGTATTAATTCATCTTTGTTATTCTAAGGGGACTTAGTCACAGAATAAAGTTCTATTTTCTATTCTATTATATTTACAACTGTATTAAAAAAAAATACATCTAGTAAATTCCTACATAGATATAATGACATGAAACACATGTTGAGAAACTACCTTTTGGTAGCACTCTAATAATATGTCTATATTAGGAGACCACGTGGCCATCTTCTTTTCGGACGCTTCGGAGGGTTATCAGGAATTGAATAGGAAACAAAGTTAGAAACAAGAGGGTTCGGACGGTTATGAAGTTTATTATGGAAGGATAGATATCTGGATTGGGCCAAATCTCAAGGAACATTAAGGTCAATGTGGATGATTTTATTTGTAACTAAGTAAGGAGCATTCAGGATTTTACGAAAGATTTTGGATTGTAGGGATTGGATACGAGAGGAATTTGAAGGTTAGGTGGAGCCCCATAGCTCAACTCCGTAAGTCCAAATAGGCCTTATTATAGCCATGTAAATAAGTCTTTTGTAATTAATTGGAAGGTTAGAGCGTTTGTCTAGTAAGTGTTGAAGTAGTCGGAAACGTCGAGCTGTTTCTTGTCGTTTCAGTCTGGTCTGAGGATTCCAAGCTAGACGTTTGTCCAGATGGAGTCCTAGGTAATTTTTAAATTCAAATATTTTTTTATTTCTTGTCATTTTGCGCCTAAAAAACTACGCTTCTCTTGTTCATTATTACTATTCTTAGTAGACTACAAGTCACAGAATTAAATTTAATTTTCTTCTTCTTTTTTTAAAGAATGAAATAGTTGTATATTTGCTGTTCTGGTACATAATCCTGGTGTTAAGGATCTACCATTTTATCCTTCCTGAGAGGTATTGTTAGCAAACGTTACATTTAGCCGTGGGACCTGTTATATATAAAGTTGACACAAGGCAGACAGAAGATGATGTGGCCAGGGGAAGGAAGAAGAGTTGGGCCATAAAGGTGATGAAGGCAGTGTGGGGACTTGAAGTGTCATTTCGGGGCCCAGGCCGCCGCCTCTTTACGGTTACCATTTAGCCCTTTTTGTCTAGGTGGTGGGGGGGGAGGAGAAGTCTAGAGTTGTGAGTGGTTGTAACATGTTAAGGGCACTTCTACTCTATAAAACAAGCCTAACCGTCCTTGTTCTCGCTTCTAGTTTACTGCAGGATATTCAACTGGAAATAGAAAAAGTCCAAGAAGGTTTAATAGTAATAAGAAACGGCCAAATGTAAATTATGAGAGAATTTGATAACTAACAGAATGAGGGAAGGTTATCTACCTATGATAAAGTGTTATTGTGCTTCTCAGTGTTTTGTATTTTTCAAGTTTGTTTTGTTAGTTTTGTTGTATCGTTTCCTACTGTTTGTGTTATTTTAGTGTTTTATAGTTTTTTGAACATGATTTAGTTTTAGTTTATGTTTATTTAGTTAATTTTATAAACTTTTTGAGTGAACAGTGGAGGTTAAGGTTAACTTTGTGGTTTTCACGAAGGTTTAATCTAACCAAAAGGACGTTTAGAGACTATTACGTTGGTGAAGCACTAAGGTAAGTTCATATTAAAGTCTTACTTTTGAAGATAGGAAATTTATAAGTTTCCCGAACGTAGGTTAGATTTTTAGTGTTGAATATTTCCTTCTACTGTTGTTCACCCATTATTTCAACGTATAAAGTTGTTAATTTTGGATTGCGTAAGATGGCTGATGAAATTGCATCAGCAATGGAGCAGGAAATGGTGGAAGAACAGGCTATAAAGTGCCCAAGGCCTTCAGCAAAGAGGCAAAGGAAAGGATCTCCTGACGCCCGAGAAGAAACAGATAAAGAACGTGTAGACGATAGTCTTCTGCAAGATGCACGTAGAATCAAAGAAAACATCAGGGTCTACATGAACGCAACAGACAGGAACGTGAGTGCGAAGGTACAAAAGCACGTTAATGGGAAAATTCAGCAGTTAATAGATATAATGGAGACAATATATGATAAGAACTATGAAAAAACGTTTTTAGTACAACGTGTGGTAAAGGACACATTAGCTTCCTCTGAAATGTATGATATCATAGTAAATGCATTAGTGGAAAAAGCAGTACCTATGGTTATCGAGGGACTCAAGTCGGAATGTAAAACCATACAAAGACCACTGTCAGAACCTCAGACATCTCGGGAGTTTCCATGCGTTAAAGAACAACCGCTATTAGCCGATGCCCACGCTATTATTGAGACCACGGAGAATGAAAGTTTCCAGGAAGTAAAGAAAAAGCAAAGAAGGAAAAAGGCTCTTCCACAAGTGGCCAAAGAGATCGAGGCCTCTAAACAAATAGCAGAGGAAAGTTTGACCAAGAAAAGGTCTACACATCAGACTACGATGGCCGATATTGTTAAAGGGCTTCCATTAAAACCGATGGATACTACAAGACCAACTTATGTTACCATCGCTTCTCAAGGTAAAAGTGCAGCTGACATCATCAACAATCTGCCTTCTCCAACTGAACTAGGAGTCAAGGCGAGAGTTGTACGGGCGACCAAAGCTGGCTCAGTTTTAGTTTGTGTAGATGAGGGTGCCCATGCGAAAAAAATAATTGAATGGCAAAAATTAAAAGAAGTTGGGATGGAAGCAAAACTAGCCTTAAAAAGAAAACCAAAAGTGGAGGTAAAAGGAGTTCCCCTTTCATGGAGTGCGGAAAATCTAGAAAGGGTGCTATGGGAAAGGTTGGCTGCAAAATCGGCCGTTATTTCTGAGAACCAATTAGGTAATATAAAGCCATTGTTCTCATCAATGGCTAGAAATAAAATTACCAATAATTGGGTGTTAGAAGTACATCCAATGGTAAGATATAATCTACTCAAGGAGCAAATAATTACAGGAGGTTGGTGGTCACTGACAATCTTAGATTACCCCGATGCTCCTCCCTGTCTAAGGTGTCAGGGATATGGACATACAAAAGCTACTTGTGAGGCAAATGGCATAGTATGCAAGTGGTGTGCGGCGAGTGGGCATATTGCTAAAAACTGTCCCGCAAAAGGAAATAAGACCGCACCTACATGCGTTAACTGCGTGAGGGAAGGTGTTCAAAAAAGTAAGGCTAAACACCAGGCAGGAAGTAGAGAATGCCCAGTGCACATCAAGAGATCTCAAGAATTAGTGAGGAGAACTCACTATGATTAGACTCAACATCCTGCAGTTGAATATGGGCCGCCGGCATATTGTGGCTGACGAGCTTCGCGCCATGGCACAACGCTACGATATCATGGCGGTCCAGGAACCTAGCTGCTGTGGGAACAGGGTTACGGGGTTTGGCCTCACGTCAAGAGTTATAGCCCTGAGCAGTGGAGAGAGGAGGCCCAGGGCTGCAATAGTGATTAATAATCCTAACCTTGACGTGATGGATCTGAGACAACACACCATGGCGGATTATGCATCTTGCTATGTTAAGTGGGGCAAGATTTCTTTCACATTGGTATCGGCATACCTACCTGTGAATAGTGATGTAGAAGAAAGCATATCCGCTATGGAGGCGATCATTAGAGAGATGAGGAATGTGATCATGTGCTCAGATACCAACTCCTGGAACACGGTCTGGGGGTCCAATATTACTGACAGGCGAGGCGCTAAAATGGGAAATTTCATAGGCAGAAATCACCTTGTCGTGATGAACGAACCCTCTGCCACCCCTACCTTCTCTGGAGGCATGGGGCAGAGTTGGATTGACGTCACGATCGCCACGCCTTCGCTTACGAGGTATATTGCTGATTGGACTCTCAGATCTGATACGAGTTCCGATCACGTTGCGATAGCAATTGGCCTGGTAAATGAGTCAGGATGTTCCCACGGTACTGATAAGGGTTTCGTCACTAAAATAAATGACTGGAGTGTCTTCAGGTCCTACCTGGAAGGAGTGATTGCAGACGAGGAGTGGGAAGCGGCAGAGATGGATGTAGTTGACAATCTGGACTACAAGGTGTCCAGGATTACCAACAACATTCGTGATGCTGCCGAAAACTCCCTCAAGCACCGGAAGGCGAGGGTTCGACCTGTCCCATGGTGGACGCCAGCCTTAACTGTTCTAAAACGAGACCTCTACAAGGCCCGGCGGTCATATCAGAGGTGCAGATGCGAAGAGAGGCGCACTGTACTTCGCAATGAGTACAAGTCAAAAGCCAGGATATACCGAAACGAGGTTCGCTCACAAAAGCGGAAGTCTTGGGATGATTTCATCATTGAAGAGTCTTTGAAGAATCCCTGGGGTATTCCGTATAGGGTAGCATTGGGTAAGTTGTCCCCGATGCAGACTATTGCAGCCTTGCGGTATCATAATACTGAGGCAACCACCCTTGAAGAAACTACCAATGTTTTCATTGAAGCAATATATCCCAGAGATGACCCAACCCCGGACAGCGAAAATGATGCTTTTGTGAGACGCACCACGGTATATCCACCTGGTTCAGATTTGTGCCCACCATGGGACATTCACGATCTTCGTATTGCCGTGGATAAGCAGAAGACTAATCGTGCTCCAGGACTTGATGCAATAGATGCAGCGATCTTGAGGAACAGTATCACGTATATTGAAGACCGGCTGTTGAGTATTTTCAATGAATGTCTGGATATGGGATACTTTCCAAGAAGATGGAAGATCGCTGATTTGAGACTACTCTACAAGGGAGGAGATAGGGACAAACAACTCCCTAATTCATATAGACCTATATGTCTCCTCCCTGTGATTAGCAAGGTCCTGGAGAACCTCATGATGACTAGTTTACGGCCTGTTTTCGCTAGAGCAAGTCATCCACGGCAATATGGATCAACCAGAGGCAGAGGAACCGCTGATGCCCTGCTGAGAGTGCGCAGAGATGTTGAGGAGAGGGCGGAGCGGTATGTCATGTTGCTTCTTTTCGATATATCCTCCGCCTTTGACAGCGTATGGTGGCCTAGCGTGCTCCAACAGCTGCAGAGGTATGATGCTCCTAGTAACTTATACACATTAGTAAGAAGTTATCTCCAGGATAGAAGTGTCAAGATTAGAGGCAATTACTACGAGGTAGAAGCTTCCATAGAGAGAGGTTGCCCTCAGGGATCGGTGCTTGGTCCTGCTCTATGGAAGCTCGTCTTTGATGAGTTACTGGGAGTGTTAGAGGAGGAGCGGTTTCCTGCCACTGCTTACGTTGACGACCTAGCTGCTGTGGTGGCCTCCAACAGCAGAGCTGGAGTCAAGAGAGAAGCAGAGCGATGCGCCAGCCTAGTCGCTAGATGGTGTGAGGGGAAGAAGATGAGGATGGCTGCTGCTAAGACTCAAGCCATCCTCCTTAAGGGAAAGACTGATAGGGCACACCCTATAACGATGTACATAGAAGGTCAGAGGATACGTCCAAGTGAGGTGGTAACCTACCTAGGGGTTAGGTTAGGTGTAGGCCTCAATATGACGCCTCATTTGGAATATCTGGCAGGTAGGGTGGCCCTAGCAATGAACGGTCTAAGTCGTGTGGGGGGCGCATTTTGGGGCCTTAGGTATCCAGCCACTATCACTATTTATAAGGGTGTTGTGGAGGGTATCCTTAGGTATGCGTCTCCCTTCTGGTTCCGAAACCTCACACTCAGACAAAGAAATAGGCTAGCATCGACTCAGAGAACTGCTCTGCTTCGGGTCACCAGAGCATATAGGTCTACGTCGCATGAAGCAGTGCAGGTCTTAGCGGGGGTGGTGCCTCTCGACCTCCTCCTGCGAGAAGAAGTGACCAGGTATGACTACAAGAAGGAGGGCTCAACTAGTCTATCGGAGAACCTACGGATGAGGATTATTGAAAACCCAAATAAATGGAAAAAGATTATCCGGGAGGAAACAATTGAAGATTGGAGCAGACGGTGGGTGACGACTCCGAAAGGCAGTACCTTAAGAAAATACTTTCCCACCGTTGAATCTCGGTTACAGGCGAAATGGGTCCTCCCGGACTATTGGGTTTCACAATTTCTCACGGGACATGGGGGTTTCAGAGCTAAACTCCATGGCTACGGACAGGATATAGATCCCCACTGCCCCGATTGTGGTGTTCCGGAGACTGTTGAGCATGTGGTCACGGCCTGCACTGCTTTCGACGAATTAAGAGCGAGGTTAATGAGAACCACGGGGATTTACGTCCTCACTGAGGAGGAGTTTCCTCAGTTGGTGAGTGAAGAAAACTTCCCGCGGTTCAAAGAGTTTATAAATGGCTGGAAGACGGCGGTGGGCCCAGCTCACTTCAACCTAGGTGCACGCAGAAGGAGAAGAGGACCAGTCCCAGGAAGACCTCCGGATTCGGGAAGCCAGGCCTAAAGGAGCCAGGAAAAAGTAGAAGAGCTAGCTGTGTGCACAGCTTAGAATTTTGTAAACTGATATTATGGCAGTAGTGTGTTATTATGCATTAATGCTTAACATCACACTACTGCATACACCCGTGTTGCCCTGGTGGCATGGGAGGGTGGAAAACAAATAAACAAATAAATAAATAATAAATAAAAACTAACAGAATGAGAATAAAAGATAATTCGTTTTTAGTGTTCATTCAAAAATATTTTACTCTCTCGTAGTTAGTAATAATAAGATAAAAAAAAATAGCTTAATACCAACTATGAATGAATTTGAATTTGAAAATCCTAAATATAGATGTTAATCCTGAAAAGACGAAAGGAATTATATTTTCATACCAAAAAGGAAAAAAGAAAATGACAAACGAATTCAAAATTAACAATAACAGTATTAAATTATCGACTGACTTAACATATCTCGGTATTCACTTCGACAGACATTTAAAATTTTGACAAAAAAATTAAAACAGTAAAATTATGACGTACAGACTCCAAAATTTAATTCCGACAACAAACCTATCTTCACGCCAAAAGTTTTTAGTCTATACAAGTATAATACGGCCGGCTCTGTTGTATGGTGCACCTCTGTTCAAACATATCAGCAAAACAACTGGGAAAAGATTACAATATTTCCAAAATGGAATAATTAGAAAAATTGTTAGAGGAACCACGCTGCAGAGAAAGAAGATATTGGATATTCAAGCAACACCAAATTTATCACCTATAAACGAATTTCTGGCAAAACGAAAAAAATCATTTTTCGAAAAATCCCAACAATTGGCAATCCTTCTTTTCAACAACTTATTACCAGCCCGAATTCCAAAACTTTGGCAACAAATCACATGAGCTATATGTTTTTTTTTTATTAATTTAGTTGTAAGCTCTATAGGATAAGGTCAACTCAAGCCTGAGGTGAGCCCCATCACCTTTTATATTACAGACGTAGAACAAAATACTCATAAACGAAAAAAAAATAAAAAAATACACCTTACAATGCTTTTAAGCAGTAAAAGGACTACTATGAAAACAATGAAAAGGATCCAAGTGAAAAATAAATAAAGAGGGGATATAATAAAAAAAAAAAAAAAAAAAAAAAAAAGGAATTAGATGGGAGAAACAACTGCTCATGTATATAGCGACGAAATTACTGTAGAAATATATTTAAAAGAAAAACCTGTACCACTAAGAACCCATGAAGGCTCTTGGATTCTGTACAAATACGGGTTTGTTATGAAATAAAAAAATATAAATTTTTGGACGAAATTTTGTGGAAAAATATTTTTTTTCATGCTGTTTACTAAAATATTCTTTTAAATCGACGTTATTACAACAGTTGGAAAGCTAAATTATTGCTCTTCAAAACTATATCGAAAACTAATATTTCAAGCTTTTATAAGAAATAAATTAATACAAATTCTCCAAACGTTTTTATTTTTTATCTACAAACCTAATTTATTTTGCGGGATTCTGGTATATGCTATTTTATGTATATGATAAACCACCAAATTCATTCTAATTTTTGTGTAGATAAGTGGAAAAATGTCGGAGATATCACAACTTTTGTGATATTCGAAAAAAAAATTATTTTTCGATAGATATGAAAATTCGTATTTAAGGTTTTTTCGAGATGCGAAATACAAATCTGAACTTTGTTTCTCCTTAAAAAATATTTGAACCCTATTTACTCCTTAGGTCAAAAAAAAAATAATAATAAAAATGTACCATTTTAACATCCTATGAAGGGTTATGGGTTTAGTACAATGTGAGGAAGTATGTACTGTTAAAAGGCCAACGGTTGTGCAGCGAGGTAATCGGGCTAAGAACACGCTCAACCGCCAGGTTTTCCTCCTTACTTAATTATTTAATTAAAATTAACCACTTTACAGAGGCTGGGTATTCTTGTCCCAGGGTTGATCCACGACTGATGAAAAATTCATTATTAGTCGGATTCGTACTTGGGAACTAGAGCTCTGAAAGTCAGGAGCCACCCACTGAGCTACTTTTGTGTTTTTAGATAGTTAGATAGAAAAATAACTTTATTCTGGGACAAAGTCCGTTGAGAATAAATAAATAGTAGTTATTAATTACAAGATTCCATAGTAACAAGATACCCAATGGCCTAAATACAAACAATAGAAATAAAGAAAAAACTATATAAATAAAACTATATACACAACATTTAAATCTATGTCAAGACCCTTAAAACTATTTACAGTGGTAAAAAAATATCATTATACGCTTTTAAGAAAAAAATACATTAAATTCTTCTTTAAAATAAGTTTTGTGTTTCTGCTGAGAAAAAAAGAAAGCCAAATCTGACAATACAAAATGTCTGAGTATTTAAATACTGAATAATATTTAAATATATCATGATCATTTCTTAACTTAACTATAGGTAATAATTTAATTGTATGTATAAAGCCAAATGATAGAATAGAAAATACAATTTATTCTGGGACGAGGTCCCTTAAAAATAACAATTATGAACAAAAAATAAAACAACACATCTGGCCAAAAATTACATTAATCAAAATTAAAGAATATATACAATATCTTCAGTGAAAGTATATTCAAACAAATAAATAAAGTAAAACAATTTTGAAAACAACAAACATTATTGAAGAAATGAAATGAAAAACAGAAATCAGGGGAAATAAAGAAACAAAAGCACTATGGGTTGATTCTTATAATTAAAACTCAAACAATATCAACATTTATCTTATACAATTACCTTATAGGCCTATTCGGACTTACGGAGTTGATCTATGGGGCTCCACTAAACAATCAAATTCCTCTCGTATCTAATCCTTGCAATCCAAAATCCCATATAAAATCATCTATAACGACCTTAATATACCATCTGGATTTAGCTCAATCCAGATACCTATCCTTCCATAATAAACTTCTGAACCATCCGAAACCTCTTGTTTTCAACCTTGTTTCATCTTCTATTCCTGATAACGCTGCGAGCCGTATGAAAAGAAGATGGCCTCGGGACCTTATAATATAGAAATATAATTGGAGTGCTACCAATGGGTAGTTTCTCTTCATGTTGTGTGTGTCGTGTTACTTGTTGTATTTATCATTTAATACAGTTATAAATTTCAAAAATTAAAATTAAAAAAAAATATTGAAGTGAAAGTTGTGTAACGCACGCAACATCTGATTTTTTTTTTTTCAAATCATATATATAACACTGAATTTTTTTGGTAGTGGGAGAGGAACGGTTTATTTTATAAGTTATTAAACGAGTTATCATGGAAATGACTTAAAACGGATACTGTCAGTATTCGAATTCCCTTAGGCCGATTCCCTTAATAAAATATGTGAACCCTGTGATGGTTCTTATAAACGATTCACTTGCCCGAGTTGACTTAAACATTAATAAAAAAAGCGAGAAGCCGGGAGTGATATAGGAAGACATTAGCTAACCGGAGGTAGTAAATCTTGGAGAGAGGCCTTTGGAGGGGGGGGGGGACGGGTGACATATGTCCCAGGAGTCCCGTGGGACGAATTGTGGTCCCACCCCACGGTCCCTCCTTCCCCAACTGACCGCCTTCTCTCTTACCTAATAGTATTGTGCTTTATTTTAAGGCTGTCGCTTAACGTTTCTTTTACATAATAAATGTTTGTAATACCATTTCTATAAGGTGTCGGCCAATAAAGAGGGAGAATTGAATTAATGTATAGTTATGAAACCCATCATCAACAAAAAATGCTAATTAAAAAATTCAAGGATGTGGAAATCATTTACCAAGAAAGTTTTTTAAGATGATTGTTTACTTACTATGCCAATCCCTTCCAAGACTGTCAGGGATATTGTCATAATAATTCTGCTTTAAGAACTGGTGTTAATTTATTGCTGTGGACTGTATATCCATAGGTCGCTGGTTCATATCCGGCCCGGAGGACCAAATGTTTACTTACTATGCCAATCCCTTCCAAGACTGTCAGGGATATTGTCATAATAATTCTGCTTTAAGAGCTGGTGTTAATTTATTGCTGTGGACTGTAAAATTAGAGGAGTTAATGGATTAAAGAAGTGAATGAGTAAAATTGATTGCTATATTTTATTACATGTATTTTATAAGGAGGTTAAATATAGGTGGGTTGGGATACTTGCATTTTTCTTTTCTTCTTGTTGACAGTCTTCTTGTTCATCTTCTCTCTCTTCCTTTCTTGACCCCTTGCCGGCCGCTGTAGTGTTTTACTCCATGTTTAATAAATCAGTGGAATCACAAAATTTTCAACTGGCCAGTCTAGTCAATCGCGGTACGTGTGCGTCTACACTTCAACAATGGCGGCGTCACAACAATGACTGAGGTATATATACAGCTTAACAGCTGTGTTGTGCTTACTTGATTTAATTCAAATATCAAGTTTGATGTGTTTTTTCCTAAGCAGGAAAGAGATTGAAATACAAGGAAACAAAGAATAAAAATACTTAATTGTGGGTAAATGGTTGATTGTCGTGAATAATGAAGAGAAGAATGGTTGGGATGATCAGTCAAATAAGAAGGCAAAAATAAATGATTATATTTATTTTTATATTTGCCGACGTTTCGACCTGAAGTTCAGAGCCTAAGAAAAGAACCAGATAACAAGGTATGAGAAACATGAATAATGTAGGTAAAAAAAAAAAACGCTGCAAATGATTTTACAATGGTTTATTATCTCCAAACAATTATATATCTAAAGTAACATTACCTTCCGAGTTACAAAGAAAAAAAGGTGATTCCAATTATTAGACTAAACTGTTTTTCTTTAATCATTAGTAATCTGCTAAAAAAAAATAGCATTATTTCAGTAACACATTTAAAATTTAAAAACCAAACCAAGGAGATAACATTTGGAGTAGAACACATAAAAACAAACCAGAGACTATATCTTTGCTCCTAATTGACCGATTTTAACGATTTTTTTTTTTTTTTTTTTTTTGCAAATTTCATAAACTTTTAAAAAACCATAATACAATAACAACAAAAAAGTAAAAACTTTTCAAGTTATTCGGAATTTAATTTTAACATCCCTCTTAACTTTTTTTCCAGCTTCTTTTCGTTGAAGTATGTTATATAGATAAATTTAAAGGGCGTCGAGAAAATGACTTTAGCGAAGTTTAATTGAAATCTGTACATTCGTTTAGTAGCTACAGTCTATAGCAACGTAGGTTTTTCGGCCGCCATTATGAAAGTTAAAGGCGGAGAGTAATGTCGATGAAGGAGGATCATCCTCGGGTGACCTCTGATTTTATATCAAAATTTGAAAAAAAATCGGTCCAGTAGTTTCGGAGAAAATGCGCGGACAGCGGACGGACAAACAATTTTTTATTCGTTTTTCGAATTCTACGCATCTTGAAACGTGAAACCTCAAATTTTGAGAGGGGATTATGTTTTTGTATTTTTTGGTAGATCACAATGTTTCATTATTGAAAATAATAAACCAAAATTAAAATAAAATGAAGTGGATAATGGCAATAGTAAGAACTAATAGATAAACAATAATAACCGTTACAAAGTGTGGAGTGGTGAAGTAAACATAATCAAAAAAGGTGACATAAGTATTAAACTGGTAATCTTAGAATAAAATGTAAAACAGAAAAAAGGAATATGAAGTTATATAAGAATCGAAAATAAATAGTAAAATTAAGATATTGCAAATAGAATAGTTATATTTATATCTTTATTATATTATACGTTGTCAGTACATTTTGATAGACTTTACAATATCTCAATTTTCTATATAACTATTCTATTTGCAATATCTTAATTTGATATTACCGGGCTGAAGCCTCTTCCCCCTATTCCAAAAACAAAAAAAAAAAAATCTTGGATCCACTAGTGAGTCACTGTATGTTGGTAACTGAAAGTAAAAAATTAATGTTTACCTTAACCTGAAAAATAATTCGTTGATAACAATCAGAAATAAACATCATTACAGCAGTAATGTGAACCCAAAGAGCTGTAGTTTGGGTCTCGTTGTGTTGTTTCTCTCCAAACCATTACCCACCCTCTGGAATATTGCGGCCATGTTTCGGTAGGTTGCGCTCTGAATACCTTTCCCCCCATCAAATTCGGTTTTTCAAGTTCTTGAGCAGTCTTAACCGAACTGAGTTCACCTCTCTTCGCGTTTGTTCACGACATTAACACATTTTTACTTTCACTTACCTATATATATAATATATAGCAAGGATAAGTATTGCTATCGTAAACGTTTTTGAATCTGAGTTTTCAACGGAAATACAAGTCTTACAAAATGGTCTGTATGTGTGCGTTAACAGTCTAGTTGAAAAATGAAAAGTCTTACGAAATTAAAATTGGACATTTAAGGTCCAAGGTTATGTTACAGCAAAGTTTTCGTTAAAATCGGCTATACGGAATTGGTTCTTAATATTGCCAATTTTACGCATTTTGACGTTTTTCTCGTTTTGTTTAAATTCATTATACCGGTGTAAAACTAAGCAGTTTTTAATATAATGTAGGTTTTATTCTCATTTATATTTTATAATGGGCTTAAAAGGCTAATTTTCATTACTTCTCCATCTAAAATAATTTTACTATTAATTTTTATTTCTTATATAACTTCATATTCCTTTTCCCTGCTTTACATTTTATTCTAAGATTACCAATTCAGTACTTAAGTCACCTTATTTTGATTATGTTTACTTCATTATTCCACACTTTGTAACAGTTATTATTATTTATCTCTTAGTTCTTGTTATTGTCATTATTCTACCTACTTTATTTTACTTTAATATTTTGTTTACCTACATTGTTTATGTTTCTCATACTTTGTTATCTGGTTCTTTTCTTAGCCCCGATGAAGGCCTGAACTTTAGGTCGAAACGTCGACAAATGTTAAATAAATATTATTATTTATTTTTGCCGTTTTATTTCTGACTGATCACCCTAACCATCCTTCTCCTCATTAAAATACCTTCAATAATTTTAAATTTGAAATAATTAACCATTTAGCATTGCAAAATTCTATTATAAATGTTTAAATATAAAATATGAATGAATTTGATTATTAAATAAAGAAGAAATGAGGATTGGAAGTTATACGGAAACACCCGAGAGCGCCCGATCTTTGTCGATCCTCTCCCTTACAGATATCTGATACCCCTCAGTACATGGCTTTCCTATTTTTAGATTAACTTTTATATATCACTTATTTATAACTTTCTAAAAAGGTTACTATGCTAAATCTTGAGAATCTATTAATATAAACCTAATAATATACTATATTTACTAACGTTAAGTAATTTTTTTATTTATCACGAGTTTCGTGATAAATGTTTCCGATGAAACTCAGAATTTTTCTAAAAGATCTATTTTTCCACATTACTATTGTTTCTTACTATAGTAGGTCGAAAAAGGAAATAGGAAGTGATTCAAACTTGTAAATTTAACAGATTCGATGGTCGGGAAAAACATGATATTTATTTATATAATAGAGTGTATAAAAAAATTACCGTTTTATCAAATTCAAGATTTCAAAAGACTGTATATTTTAATCCTTACCAATACTTAATAATCCTTTTAGAGCATTCTGTAAGCTTGTTTAATTTCATTCGACTTCTTCAAAAAAGCCTCAGTTTAGTTATTTGTGTCCATGAAGAAACATGAGACTGTGTCCTACGAATTCTCGTAATTTTAAGGCATTACTGGGGGAAAAAAAACGCTGAAGAAACTCGTGAAATAATTAAATATGAACGGAAAGGTGTTCTTGACCAGCTCACTGCGCGGCGTTGGGTTAAAAAAATTATGAATAGAAGAAGAGCTCCAGGTGACCATTAATGAATATGGTTCTGCAGGAAGCTGTGTGTGATGTGTCGTAAGATACTGTTAGTCGCCATCTACTCTCCATGGTCCCTCACGAACTTATTCCTCAGCAATCAGCTTATATATATATATATATATATATATATATATATATATATATATATATATATATATATATATAATATATATATATATATATATATATATATATATATATATATATTATATATATATATATATATATATATATATATATATATATATATATATATATATATATATATATAATATTCTCTTGATTATATCTTCCAAAACAGATTATAAGATTTAATAATCTAGTGCTGTGCGGGCATCACACAACATTCACTTACTCCCCTTAGAGTGGATAACAATTTTCATTTTACGAAAGTCAAAGTGAAAACGAATATATAACATCATTTAAAACAATTTAATTATCATTACTAATAGGATGTATAAAAAAAAATGACCGTTTTTCAATCCAACATTGTATTATTATTTCGTTGATTACAAATTTATTAAAAAACTCTTTTGATATGAAACTCCTGCCTCATCCACCATATAGTCCAGACCTCGGATTACTACTTATTTAGATCCATGGCCCATTTTCTACAAGAAAAAAAAATTGATAATTTTGCGGAAGTTGAACTAAAGGTCCAGAAGTTCTTTGACAGCCGTCCCCAAGAATGGTAATGATACCATTCTTGGGCCCTGAAGCCGGATCGAGAAATTGGCTAGCATATGGCTAAAGACTGTAGATAATAATGCACTTTGAGTATTAATTGTATTTTATATCAACGAAATAAT